TCCCCCTTAACACCCTTTAACACCCCTTAACACCCCTACATATTAACCACCACTAAAACCGCGCAATCTGCTTCATTCAAGACGAGTAGGACATTGTTTATTGGCATCATGGTCCAAATTTGCCAAATTCTTAAATTAAACTCAAAAATTTGTATTTTACCAGGTCAAGCCCACTGAACTACATAGCTCTTTTTCAGAAACGACTTGGCTATCACAAACGATAGCTCAAAAAAGTGGCTTATCATGTGGAAATGTATAGCAGCCAAATACCCCAAACACATGTTTCTAAATGTGGAGGGAACCGGAGGACCCAGAGAAAAATCCGCACGACCATGGAGAGAGACATGCAAACTCCATATACACAGCAGGGATAGAACCCACGTCCTCCAGACGAGATAGTTAACATCGCCTAGCCACCAATTGGAATCTACAGACAACAGCAAACGCTGCTCCATACTGGCAGACGAATGGCCGATTGCAGGCCAGGTGCCAAGTCACCGTGCGCCCACAGGGACCGCTGTCACTGAGGGGGTGCCCTTTCAGATGTTTGAGAGAGATGAGATGTAAGGCACTTATGACATGTAAAGAGCTCTGAGATGCAGTGTAAAGGTACTGCATAAAAAATACATAATACATCAATACATTCCCACTTGTTGGTATCTTTATAGAAGAATAACGAGATGTTAAACTCCTCGCCTGGTATACAGTGATCGTGGGTTCGATTCCAACCTCATGCCTGTAAATTTGGAGTTTGCATGTCTCTCACTCCCCATGGTAGCATGTATTTTTCTCTGGATCCTCCAGTTTTATCCCTCCATATTTAGAATCAACGTGCGTTTAGAGTATTTGGCTGAGATACATTTCTTCGTGATAAGCCATTTCATTGAGCTATGATTTGTGGCCAAATTGCTTCTGAAAAAGAGTAACACAGGAGCTCAGTGGGCCTTACCTGGTACAATACAAAAAAAATCTTCAGTTAAGTATATTTGTGCTAGCTATATACTGTATCATAACGAGATGAAAATTCGCAAGTCATAAGTACCATCAGGCTAAATATTGCTTTTAATAGCCCTGTCATAATTACTGTTCAAGTAATTCCATAATGTAGTTGAAAACTGTACGTCAGTGGAGAATTAATAGGACCTTTGGGAAGTTCGTGCGAGTGGTTTACAGTCCCAAAGAAGCCACACCGAGGACAACACGGGTATATAAAGCGCTGACATGAAACTCGGTTGTAACTTTGCTGTGACAATTCCGTGAAAGATTAAGACTGTTAACCACAACATTTCGGTATCAACCATCAGCGGAAACAGGTAAGATATATCGACTCTGTATTGCGATTTTGAACGGGGTATTCGTTGATGATTGTATTGCTTCAGCGCCAGAGTATTAGAGAGTAGGATTTTTAATTCGTGCAAAACTCGACGCAAAATCAGGTTTCCATCTGATTCATGGCAATACATCGGAGTGTGAGAAAACTATTTAAGACGCGGCGAAGATAAAGATGATAAAAGTAGCACTGCAAAACGCCTCTGCAATGTGAAACGCTAGCCGCAGAAGAGAAAATATTGTGTTGGTTGCTCTACATGTTTCGGATAGGGGCCCTGGGGCGCAAAAATAGGGGGGTAGGGGTTATGTGGCAGCGTTATGCGACGTATAGGGGCCTAGTCGGCCACCAGTTGGCCCCGAATCAACACATTAACAAGTACCTTAACATCTTGTTATTAATACTGTCACTGTGAGACTATCTTCCTTTAAACCTAATGCACGGTGCAACTAAAATAATATAGTTATAGCCTACATATTATTGCATACGGGTTAAAAACATCCGTAGTTATTTCAGTAAAAGTGAGTCTGGAGAAAGGAGGGGTGCCCACAGTCGATTCTTGCATAGCCCCCCCCCCCCGTTGTAATAGGTCGGTGAAATAGGTAATTAAATTAGGTAGTTGAAATAAGTAGTTGAAATAGGTAGTTGCTCCCCTGCATGGGGCCAAATATAGGATGATGATCTGTCCTTCATCAAGAGACCCTCTTGAATGCATGGCTGGAGGAAGGTGCTTATAAGTGTTGTTTTGTTTCAACCATGTCAAGCAGCGCCATTGGTTGGTTCTAACACAAAGGTTTTGGGCAAGGAAGCAGTGGAGTTCAGACCGGGTCGTGGGGGGAGTTAGAATACCTATTTGTAATTGTCTTGGCCTAAATATCTTGCGATGTTGATGGTGTTGCTGTGAGTAGCATGGATGGGGGATTGAGATTTCTTGTGTTAAATGATGTCAGTGATGCTGGGGAGTTTGACGAAGTGCATGTTGTTGGAAATGCAAGGTGGCTTTGAGCAGTGACAGGGTTGCAAATGTGGCGTATTTTGTGTGTTCGGGGACCTTGTCTTTGGTACCCGTGGGCTAAGGGTCACGTGGGGAGGGAACAACGAGTTATTTTTTAGAGCGATTTTGCGGTTTTGTATCTGCCTGTGATTTGAGGAGTGTCTCTGGTGGCTGTGGTGATAATAGTGTGTATAATCGTTTTGAAATTGGGAGTTGTGAGCTAATTCGATTAGCACTAATTGAGGTCTGTCTGGTCCGAGAAACGTTTTCCACAACATTTCACAACCCAAAACATCTCCATACAGGTCACAAACACTTCAAAACACGGAGCAATAACACACCACAACTCCCACCCATTTCACAACACATTATCATCACAACCGCCACAGAAAAACAATCCTCCACCACAGACAAACACTCAGCCACGATCTGCAATATCGCTCTCAAAAATTATCGTTCTTTCTTCTTATGCATATGTATTATGCATGTTGAACTTCTCTCGCACCGTACATAGCGAACTGTCCTAATTGGAGGTGCGGGGAGAAGGACAACAAACTTAACACAAAAAGCAGTTTTAAAGAAATTATTTTTCAATATAGATTCAAAAGTGTATAGCTCCAGTGGCTTCCTACTGACAGAAATAATACGTGACCCTTAGGCCACACATACCGAAGACACAAGTGCCATACCAAAGTCCGGCACATTTACAACCCTATTAGCCCAAAATCACCTTGCATTCCCAACAACACGCACTTTTTTTTAGCTCCCCAGCAGCACTGACACCATTCATTTAACACGGACAGAAACGTCACTACCACACAATACACATCACATGACTCCTCCACCTCCAGACACCCCCAAACTGACCCCCTCAGACACAGCACCCGCTCTGAACTACGCTGCTTCCTTGCTCAAGCCCTTTGTGTTGGAACCAACCAACGACGCTCTTTTCGTTGGGAACGTAATGTAGACTGTAGCAATGGTTAAGCTGGGTGAGTGTACTGGCAGTCTATAATGTAGACTGTAGCCTGGTTCTTAACCTCGGTGAGTGTACTGGCAGTGTATAATATAGACTGTAGCCTGGTTTTTAAGCTTGGTGAGCGTATTGGCAGTCTATAATGTAGACTGTAGCAATGGTTATTAAACTGAGTGAACGTACTAGCAGTCTATAATGTAGACTTATTCTTGGTTCTTTCGGTAGTAACCAACTTAATAACCAGGCTACAGTCTACATTATAGACTGCCAGTACACTAACTCTGATTAAGAACTAGGCTATAGTCTTCATTAGTGGTTTTTATATAATGTATTATTATTTTTATTCATGTTTCTAGATACAAACAAATCTGGTTATCGAACTTTTGCCATTTGGCAGCACATGAATGCTCAAGAAGTATTCCCACCTTTGTAGAGACACAATCGACATTGGCCTACTCGTAGTGAGGCGCTTAGAGGATTGGTCACTTCTCTTAGATGCCATTAACTCAATAAACTAAACAGCATCACGAGGTCTTCAGCACGTTTAGCGAAGGTATTTTTTGAAGGTGAGATAGTTAAAATGTTTTCATGAGTAGACAATTTTAGTACTGTGGAATAAATCTGTAGTGCAATACAATAATGATATGGATTCATACAGCGATGTCTAAATTCGACCGGATCTAAAAACACTGTGTGGAAACGTTGGCAATGTTACGTTTGTATAGAGAGAGAGAGGCAGTTAGTAATAGGTCGAGGGAAAAGGGGACATTTTCAGCCTGGAATTTAACAAGGACAATAAATGAACAGCGTGGATGATGGTGGCAAGCAAAGGGGAATGAGCAACCTCCCTATATCGGAAGGTTGCTTGGAGTCTTTGACAGAAAAACATACTTTGTTGCTGGAGTGGAGAGAGTACGTGGAGGGGAGTAGAGTGAGATTAGAAGGGAAGCGGTATGAGACTGCGTGGCAAAGAATCGAGTGAGGTTAGAGGGTAGAGGTAGTACAGTGCGTGGAGGAGAGTGTAGTGAAACGAGAAGAGGGGTAGGAACGAGTGATTCCATGGAGAATCTTTAAGATTGTGAAGGCGAAATTAAAGTTGACCTGGATTTGGATTGGAATGGGATGCCTAACTGTGGCATTTTTATTCATTATGAGGGATACGGGGTGGCCATAGATGGATGGAGATTGGGATGTGACGAAAACATGGATGAGGGATGGGAATTTGAGGATGAGGATCTCTCCAGCAGTGAGGGTAAGAAAAGGGCGGATTCTGGCGATAATGCCGTAGATTTACAGTTAAGAGATGTAGAAATAGAACTCCATAGTCTGGCAATACTCGTCGACAGCGTAATGTCGGAGTTGAGGGGATGCACGCCCAAACTTTAATCTTTGCTGAAATTGATATTTTTGCTGAAGAGGAACGCCTCATTTTTGGCAATGTTTTAGCTGGAGGATGTTCGAAGCGATCCAAGATGGGACCGCGTAAAGGCAGCACGTGAGAGTGCGAGGCACAATGCATCAAGTATGAGGAACAAAAAACAACAAACATTGCCTACTTAAAAGCCTACTTGCTGAACTGCGCCCATATTTCGACCAAGCTGATTGACACACGTTTAAACACTGTCCAGAAAAAATGTAACGTTCGTGACAAAAAGTACCCCACAAAATAACTGCTGTTTTCACTTGTTATTTCCAGCTCCCACATGGATACAAACTCCACGGAAATCTATCAGCCAGCACCCCCGGGGGTGTTTATCGTGATGGATCACTTCCAAGGTCACGAGGAAATAAAGCCCGTGGCTTTTGTGGCGCTCCTTGTGATTTACGCGGTGGCCGTGCTGGGGAACCTGCTGCTGTTCGTGTCCATCGCGCACGAGTCGCAGCTGCACAAGCCCATGTACATCTTCATCGCGAGCCTCTCGCTAAATAGCATGTGCGCGAGCACCATCACGCTGCCTCAGATCATGCACAACCTCCTGTCGTCTGGCTACATCTCCATCACCAACTGCATCGCACAGATGTTCTTCCTGCACGTGACCAGCATGAGCGAATGCTTTATCCTCACCTTCATGGCCGTGGACCGATTCTTTGCTATCTGCCACCCGCTGCGTTACAGCATGCTGATCACCTCCAGAAAGGCGATGCTTATGTGCATTTTCTCCGCAGTGATATCAGTCTTGTTGCTGGCAGGAGACCTGATTCTAATCAGCCGTCTCACGTTCTGCAGGCCAAGGATAATTGTGATGCCAAACTGTGACTGCTTATCGCTGAGTAATATTGGGTGCGAAGATATCACCATCAACATCATTTACAGCTCCATCATCACGGGGATCGGAAGCATCACATCTGTGTGCACCATTTTATACACGTACAGCCGCATCCTGTACGACTGTCAAAACTCCAGTCTGCGCAAAAGTCAGAAGAAGGCCATTTACACGTGCATCACTCACTTCTTCGTACTCTCCATCTTTTACGTATTCCTATTGTTCATGATTTTCCACCAGCGTCTGAAGCATCAGGAGGTGATTCCAGCCCTCATGCGCTCTGCATTCAGCTCCTTCTATTACATATTCCCCCCAGTCCTCAATCCCATTATTTATGGTCTGCGCATGGTGGAAATCCGACAAAGTTTGGCCAAAGTATTTCACGGGAATTCTGTCGCAGCTTTAAAACTGCAATCGTGTTAAGTGAAATAACACAGACATCGACGTGCACAGATATTTCCTGACGTGGGGTAAAGAAATTCCATGAATTTGAAAGGCTTTTAACTTCAGTTGAGTGGGCGTCAATGCGTAAGAAACTGACAACTCTTTCAGTTTTGTTTCCTTGACAAGTAAATTGCTTATTCACACAATGAGAAGCTTTAAACTAGATTGGTGGGAAGAATAGTGTGGACAGCAGGAAAGTGGGGAGGTAAATGGAGAGAGCATGCAAAGCAGTGCTGCTGTGCTGCTCGTGTAGGGGAGTGTGCACTTAGAAAAAAAGGTGTAGAGAGGCTGTAATCTTAACGAACCCAGCAAACATGCAACGTTGAGCCAACGTTAGAATGTGATTAGAACATTTGGACTAACGTTGGCCCAACGTTTGATGTTTAGTTGTTAAAGGTGACTTGTACCCCACAATCAAGTTTGTTGCGATATAGAGGGTGTTTTGCTCAGAGGTACAAGGTAATCTAAGATTCTCAACGCATGGATACAGGGGTGGTTTGAGGTTGCCTAGTGACTCGGTGAAGTCATCCATAATAGAGGGTTTTTTTGTTAGATATGAATGTGTCGTTACATCCGCCACCACCCGACACCGCCAATTAGTAACGTTTGTCATAGATACATTTGCATCCGGTAAATTTTGTGGGTTTACTATACAACACACCAGTATGCTGAACTAGGAACGAATTGGCATGTTTTGTCTACATAACAAACCTCATAAATTGGTGGTGTTGGGTGGTGGCGGGTTTAACGACACATTTACATTTATGCTATCTAACCCAAAAAAAACCTCTGTTATGGATAATATTGGTCGCGAAATCCTAACGTGTTAATCTGTGATGTCACACATGGTCGGGAATATTCTGGACGCCATCTTTGTAGAGGCACAGCACATGTGTTGTGGGTATGGGAAATGTAGTATATAAAAAAATACCACGCAAAAGTCAGTTTTAATAATGGTCACATGACAATAATTGAGAAATAATGTACAATTTCTCTCGCTTGCTTTGGATTGCATCATTGCAACCGTGGCTTACTTCGAGCTCATGACTCGGGCTGAAGAATCAGAGGAACGACAACGGGTAGGGCCAAACGCGAATGACCTATAACTACCAGCATTAAGGATTGTCAAGTTAAAATTGTTAAAAAGGCTTTATGGTCGACATTGAGTGAACTGCAGTTAAAAAAACTGTAGTATCGTAGGTCTCTTCTTCCTTCTTGCTCAAGGCTTGTGTGTGCGTGTGGGTGGCGTGCGTCGCACACACACTCAGTCGAAGACAAGGTAGTCGCAGGAGGCACCGTCCTCTCCTTTTATTGTTGTTGAGTTCACGCCACCAACTCCGCACCCCCCTCTCACGACCACGCTGCTGTACAGCCCAGCCTAGACATGACCCTGCCCGCGTTGCACAGACGGCGTCGACTGGGACAGCCAACTACTGTCCGGCCGCGCAATGCCCGGGCAAAGGCGGTCACGACGAAGGCGGCGACGACGACAGCGACGATGAGACGAGTCCGCAGCCTGGAGTTCTCGCTCTCTGCTGCTTATATTCCACTCAGCGTGGCTTGGCTCCGCCCTAGCCGCACCTCCCTTCTCGAACCCACCAGAGAGTTACAGGGGCTTCCCCACGAGGTCTACCGTGACCCTTGCTTCAGTTCCTCCGCCATGCCACCACACCTGTGTATATGTTCAATGGCGTGTGCGCTAAGTGGAAAAAACCCCAGGCAAGAAATCCAAAGCCACCTCCCCGTTGTTTTGTCCCAATGAAAGAGAGACCAGGAACCCCTCCTGGAGGGACACGAGGGATGCTACAAACCGTACTCCACAAAATCGAGTAATTGTCCCAATTTGATCGTTAACTTGGACAGCAAAGGGAACAGAACACATCACTCTGCTCTGGGTCCTTAACGAAAAGTTAAGCAGGATCATCGAGAGGATGGAAAGGCAAGAAGCCATAACGATGCCTCTCTAGGCTGCACTCGAGGAGCAGGGAGGGACTGAACAAAGTCCACAACGCCAAACTTAAGGAGCTATAAGAGGCATACAATAAGCTTGATGCAAAGAGCTGAGAGTGCCAACTGAAAGCCTATGGCCTCCTGAAGGAGGTAGAAGACAGCACTTCCCAGGGAGTTCTTACCTACATCTGGTTGTTGAACAAATACATTATAAGGTCGCACTCATTACACACAGCGTGCTTGCCACAAATGAACCACAATACCTTGCTGATCTCATTAAGGAACACAAACCATCATGCGAGCTCCGGTCATCCTCACAGCGGCTTTTGGCGAGTCATCGAACAAGGATGGTAACTGCATCGGGCGCTTTCAGATGTGCTTCTGCGACCGTCTGGAATGCTCTTCCTTCCATTATTAGGAAGCAACTAGAACTATGCATGTTGAAATCTAGATTGAAACCCCATTTCTTTCAAACTACTTTCTTTGTTTAGTTTGTTGTCCTCCCCCACACCTCCGATTAGCATGGTTAGCTACATACATTGCAAAATAAATTATACATGCATACAAAAACACCTGCCCTCTGCACCAAAGAACTCTGAAAACTCAGATCAGCAGCTGATTAAAGCAGACTGGATAAATTAGCCATATCGGGTGGGAAGATGGAAATTGCTGAATGGAAACAAACAGAGGATGGCAAGGATGTCAAATGACAAAGGCACACAAATTTTGAGGATCCGATACTTTATAGTCCCTGACCTCACCCCCCTAGCTGATGCTTACCTTGCTAGCTTGGGTCTCGAATTTAACCACCTCTCCCTTTTTCTCCTCAATGTACCCCCCCCCCCCACCCTTTATCGAACCACCCCTAAAAGACTTAAAATATAGCCCAGGAGCAACGGCTCCTTTCTGCTCTCACCCAGACGTATGGTAGGGCACGGTTAGTGGGCAACTATATTCGAAACATGTGGTGACGAGGAGACTGCGGTTCTTTGTGGAGTGCTCGGGATGTTCAAGGTATGGGGGATTTAGGGAGGACATGAAGTTTGTAAAAATAGCGCAGCTTCAATGTAGGCACGATGGGCGAACATTTGAATTATCTCGCGCCGCTTAGCGCACCACATCAATAAAGGATCTTTTCAAGGGGGACGGTTCCAGACGCATCGCGACACAGGAGAGCGCGATTGTATTGGGCAGAGACATGAGCGTATCCAGGAATGCGCTGCACCGAAGATTAAATGGGGTCATATTGTGGCACCTTCCTGCAACCTCGTGTAGTTTACCGCTACCCTTGAGATGTCTTCAGGGATTGGGGTTTTATCTCTCCCCCCTCTCTCTGGCCAAGCTACGTCCAGAGCATGGTAGTGTATATCAACAGGACGATCCCCCCATCCCCCATCTACGTGCCTCTTTCAGAGGCAGGATGGTGCACAAGCGCCTCTACACATCTTTCTTCCTTCCTCTCCAGAACCAGACTTGGATTGAACCGCCTTCTCTCCCTTCTCTTCCTTCATACACCCCCACCTCCCATTCGTTGGAAAAACGATAAAACGAGTGGAGACAGAGAAAGTACACTAAATCAAATAAACCTAGCAAAATTTCGAAATGTAACGCAATGCAACACAGAAGGTCGGTCAACACACAATTAACGCATAGCAATTTTTTGGAAAAACGTAATCAACCAGGCTATGCGTTAATTGTGTATTGACCGACCCTCTGTGTTGCATTGCGTTACATTTCGAAATTTTGCTAGGTTTATTTGATTTAGTGTACTTTCTCTGTCTCCACTCGTTTTATCGTTCTCGTGTTCTGCTCTCTCTGTGTGTCTCGGCTGTTGTCCCTCTCCCTCTCTGCCTTTGTCTGTTCCTCATGTTTGTGTCTTGTCTCTCTTTAAAATTTCACACTTAAATTCTAACTTAGCAATCTTTGAAAAACGTGATCAACCAGGCTATGCGTTAATTGTGTGTTGACCAACTTTCTGTGTTGCATTACATTACATTTCGATATTTTGCTAGGTTATTTAATTTAGTGTCTCTCTCCCTGTATCCTAGTTTTCAAGCTTTCGCACCGCGTCGTGCTTTTCATTGACATGCTAATTTTCTCTAGCCCCTCCCTTTCTCTCCGCCCCCGCCCCCTCTCTCTATTTAAGGCCTCGACACAGAAACGTGGCTTTCTCTGTGTGCCTATGTTTGTTCTCTCTCTATGTATCTCTGTGATATCTGTCTGCTTATATGTCTGTCTATATGTTTCTGGTTCTGAGCTTTATCTCTCTCTCAAATTTAGAATTCTCAGGAAGAATGTAATCAACCCGGTAGGGTGTTGACTGTTATGTTATCCGCCAAGCTTGAAGATTAGAACAAGTCTAGAACATTTCTATAAGGATCAAAAACAACCTTTGTGTCCTTTGCCAGTAAAATTCAACAGCACGTGTGTCACCCACAGCAATCCTCAACCGAGTCGCCATTAACCACGTGACTGGTGTACAAGTCTGGTTTATCAATAATCCTGCCAGCCACCCACAGACCCAACTCGGTTATCGCATGCTCGTGCACACACGTGCATTGATGTACTGCACAGCACATAAGGACTTTCACAAAACCACACTTTACTCCCTTACTGTACGAAGAAATAATTAAAAGAGTGGTCCATTCCTAATGTGCCACATATGCAGTCATTTTTAGTATGTTGATGGTCGGCAATGCGGCAATCGACTCATCTCGACGAGCTGTACACTATGCACTATTCAAAGTGAACATTTTCTATAACGAATTTTTTATTCTAATATTTTGCGTTTCGACATCGCGGAGAATTACTGATTTCGTATTTGATTGGTAACCTTGTCGCGGAAATAAGTACACCCCTAAAAAAAAAGTGTCCCAGAAATAAAATATTTTATTGCCTCGGCCATTTTGTATTATTTGGTATGCCAGGGTACCGCCATCAGGATAATTTGTTGCAGTTGCTCCCCCAGGGGTTGTTTGTTACATCAACTAAAAACTATTTTTTTTTATATTTTACCAGGTAAGGCCCCA